AGTCAGGTGTCTAAATTGCCAGTAGGTTAGGTCTGAGCATCAGAGGCCAGGTGGCCTACTTCAGCAGATGACTATACCTGAGTGGAAGTGGTAGCCCATTACTAAGGACTTCGTAGTTAGGTTGCCGTGAACTTTGTGGAAGTTTGATGCAGTTTGGGTCATTGTCGATAGCTTGACCAAGTCGGCACACTTCATTCCGGATGTGACCATGTGTTCTTCAGAGAGGTTGGCCCAGATTTACATTCAGGAGATTGTTCGGTTGCATGGTGTGCCTGTTTCCATCATACCAGACAGAGGCCCTCAGTTTACTTCACATATCTGGAGGGCAGTACAGAGTGAGTTGGGGACCCGGGTAGCGCTCAGCACAACCTTTCATCCACAGACCAACGGGCAGTCAGAGCGAACGGTTCATATCTTGGAAGATATGCTCAGAGCTTGTGTGATTGACTTCGAATGGCTGTGGGATCGATTATTTCCTTTGGCCGAGTTTGCTTACAACAACAGCTATCAGTCCAACATGGAGATGGCTCCATTTGAAGCATTATATGGCCGGCGATTTCGTTCGCCCATCAGATGGTTTGAGCCTGGCGATGCTAAGTTATATGGTACTAATTTAGTGAAGGATGCCTTGGAAAATATAAAGTTGATTGAGGAGCGACTTCGCACAGCACAGTTTAGACAAAAGAGTTATGTAGATCGGAAGGTGCGTGATTTATCATTTATGGTGGGCGAGAAGGTTCTCTTGAAAGTCTCGCCGATGAAGGGAATCATGAGGTTCTGGAAGAAGGGCAAGTTGAGCCCAAGGTTTATAGGCCCATTTGAGGTGTTGATATGAGTTGGGGAGGTTTCTTATGAGCTTGCTTTGCCTCCCCGTCTATCGGGAATTCATCCGGTTTTCCACGTGTCTATGCTCCAGAGTTATCGTGCCGATAGGTCGCATGTGTTAGAATTCAGCACGGTTCAGCTAGATAAGAGCCTTAGTTATGAGGAGAAGCCGATTGCCATTGTTGACAGACAGGATCGCCACTTGAGGTCCAAGAAGATTTCTACGATAAAAGTTCAATGGAAGGGACAACCAGTCGGGAGGTGACTTGGGAGGCTGAGGAGGACATCCGTAGCAGATATCCATACCTATTCAGCAGTCCAGGTATGATTCTAGACCCGTTCGAGGACGAACGTTTGTTTAAGATGTGGAGAATGTAATGCCCCGACTGGTCGTTTGCTTTATACATCCTCGTTCCCTTAAATAAGACTCCTTGTATGTGTTTTTACTATTTTATGACTCAGGGGAATGACTAGTCAGGGATTTGGAAGGGTTCGGGTTGAATCGGAACACTTGGTTCCTTAATGTTGGCTAAAAGGGGCTTATTGGAGGTTTAAAAGTTCTTTAAATTTGGTTTTGAGTAGGTTTGATGTTATTGAGGGCTAGTTGGGATTTCGAGCCTGGAAATAGTTCTGTATGGTGATTTAAGACTTTCACGCAAAATTTGGTATCATTCTGAGTAGTATAAGTATTATTCGGCGCGCTCGGAGTAAGTTGGAAGAACTTGAAGCTCATAAGTTGATTCAATTTGGTTTGGGGTGTGATCCTTAGTTTTAGTGTTGTTTTCTGCGTTCTGAGGGTTTGCAAGTCCGTCTCATGTGTACAAACTTGTTGATATGTTTGAACTACGCCTCTGGGACCTCGGATGCAATCCGGACGATATACAAATCAATTTAGAGTTCAAAGGGTTGTTGGTTTACCAGTTCTGGTGTGCCCGCATCTACGAGCGTTTGGCCGCAAATGCGAACTCACAGAAGCGAGCCCAGGGACGCAGAAGTGCAAGGGAGTGGGCTGTCATGTGGTCACATAAGCGAGGAAAGGGCCGCATCTTCGAAGGCGTAGGTGTGGTATTTCTATCGCAGAAGCGGTGGAAGTTCCGCATAAGCGGACTCACATCTGCGAGAAAGTGACCATAGGTACACTTGGAGGCTTAGACAGGCTTGACCGCTGATGCGACCTAGATTCCATAAAAGCGGTTCCGCAGATGCGGGAGATCATCCGCATAAGCGAAATCACTGAAGGAAGTGAGGTCGTTTAAGACTAACTTAGACCATTGTTTTGACTAATTTCTTTTTTCATTTTCTTGGTCGATTTTGGAGCTTTTGGAGAGGGGTTTCCACCTTGATATTTGAGGTAAGTAATTTCTATCCAATGTGAGTTAAATAGATAGATTATGGGTGGATTATAACATGTAAAATTGTGAAAAATATGGGTTTAGATGAACAAATCTAGGTTTTGATAAAAATGGGATTTAACCACGAAAATGGTTGTGGGTTTGAGTGAAAATTATATATTTGAGTTCGTGAGGTTATGGGTATCATTTCTTAGAAATTTTTCGGAATCCGGGCATGTGGGGACGGGGGTGAATTTTTGGAATATTCAAATTTGAGTTGGGTGATTACTCAAATAGTTATATTGCGAAGTTCTGAACATGTATTGATATATTTATATAACATTTGACTAGTTTCAGGTCGTTTGGCACCGAGTTGAGGATTTAAAGCATATTTGTGGATCATTAGTGACCTTGAGAACGAGGTAAGTCTCTTGCCTAACCATGTGAGAGGAAAATCATCCCTTAGGTGTATTTGTTGTGAATTACTTGAGTGGGGAGCTACGTACGCACTAGGTGACGAGAGTCCGTGCGTAACTAAATTCCATGTGATGTCCGGGAAGTTTCAGGTTTACATCATGCTTTGTTTGCACTGTTATGTTGATTTTGCATGTTAATTTTCTTAAATAGAGGTGAGATTAAGGATTTTAAGATTTAAAGTCTCCAGTTTGGACTTCTTAAGTTTTGGCAAGAATTGAAGAATGTTATAATAACTCTGATAAATCCATCTTCACTCGCGTCGCGAGTATTTTCGCGAGCGAGGTAAATTTCCTCTACTCTCATGAGAGCGGGTCGTTCGCCTCGGCAGGTTAATAGATGCATCTATGTTTTGTTCCGTTCGACCCTCGACAGTGCACACGGTATATTTTTTGGATCGGGTCATACGACCTCGGTATAAATCATGCATGATAATACTCGGAGCCCAATTATATTTGATATCATTTAATGGCTTGAGCGGTTATAATTACTTAATGACAGAAATTGACTTGCAATTTATTATTAGTGGAAGAATTATTATTCACTAATTGTTACTGAGTTGTATTTATTATTTATATGATCCATGTTTATTTAGAACTTTTGTATTTTATTGTTGGCCCATAGTAAGTGTCGATGTCGACCCCTCGTCACTACTTCTTCGAGGTTAGACTAGATACGTACTGGGTACATGTTGTTTATGTAATCACGATACACTTCTGCACTAATCGTGCAGGTTCTGAGGCAGGTGCATCTGGAAATTATCCCGGCACACACCCTTCATACTTCGAGACTTTGTGGTGAGATGCTTTCCGAGTCCATCCTGCAGCACCTGGAGTTTCTCTTTTGCTTTTATTTTCTGTCTACTCCATTCGGACAGTAGTTTAGTATTTTGTATATTCTACTAGTAGCTCATACACTTGTAACACCGTGTCTTGGAAATTTTTGCTAGTAGACACTTGATGATTTTTTGAGTAATTGTTTCGCCACACTTGTTCTTATAATTGTTTACACTTTATTTTATTAAATTTCTCACCTCTTGCTTATTTAATAATTAAGAATCGACTATTTCTAAAATATTAAAAGAATAGTTACATGGCTAGTTCATCGCTGGCTTTCCTAGCGATGACATTGGGCTTCATCCCGACCTATGGAAAAAATTGGGCCGTGACATATGTCATATTATATCAACATCTAATGAAGTCGATATCTGAATACATGATTATCTTTAACTTTTTTGACTATCTTTATGTAAGCATAAAATATTTGTTCTCTGTAATTAGCTTTTGGACCTTTAAGCTGCTTTCAAAAGATAAGTTTCTAAATTATTTAAATATCTGCCTAACATCCCCAAAATTATATAAACGCATAAAAAACTGATGATACATTAGATAATAAAAAAAATACTCACTCCCACTAAACTTGTGGTATACACAATAGTTGACAAGATTTATCTCGAAACCAAATGAGACAATAACTTGATGAAATTAGTAATACTATTATTGAGACACTTTCTTAAGTCCATAGATGATTTTCTTTTTTGAGATTTAATATTGAGGTAGTAGAGTTTTTTCTTGAACTAATCTCTCGTGCCATAAGGAAGCTGACTATTGGATGATTAACTTACCCTTATTACTATTTATGTTAACATGCAAGGTTCATTAAACGAAATAATTATATCAAGTAAGTATAGATTATTGTAACCTAATAAAGAACTGGGACTAACCAATTTTGAATTATGAAAGAGACTATTTTTTTTTCATTTCCAAATAAAGAAAAATAACCAAACTTGTAATACAAAAACAGAAATCAAATCCCATAAAAATGGTGCAATACAAGTCTCGTTCAAATTCAAATATAATCAGTTCTTAACAATAATCTAAAAGTTCCAATTGCTTCGACTTTCACCGACTTTCTGTCACCATCGTAAATGTATCTTTCACCACCATTAGGCTTTCGATAATTCAGGCAACTTTGCATAGACAAAATAATTTGAGTTATTATATCGAAATCTCTCCACCATCAGTGTCTTGGTACCGAAGTCAAATTAACCTTAGAACAAACAAAATTAAGAGGTGTACCTTTCTTTGCATGTCATGTATGATAGTTGGTACAATCCTTCTTATGACCTGCAGCTTTACAAAAGAAACAACCATCTATAGTTGGTTCCTGATGTTTTTTTTTTTTTTGTGTTGTTGTATCTACAACTTCCTTATTATTTATCTTCTTGTCCTTCCTTTTGTCCTCAGGCATAGAGGCTATGTGGGCACTTTCTATATTTTCCTTCTTCAATCTATTATGTTCCTGAATACAATGTGAGATGAGCTCATTTAGAGATCAAGTCTCTTTTTGACAATTATAGCTCACCTTAAGCTAGCTAAAATGTGGTGGAAGGGATATCAAAACCAAATGCACTAGCAAGTCCTCAGAGAGGTCCAACTTAAGTGCTTTCAACTTAGAAGCAAGATCAGACATTTTCATGATGTACTCCATGATGTTACCTTTGCCTTGATACCTCATTAAAATCAGACGTGTCAAGAGTGTACCAATCTCAGCCTTTTCACTCTTGACAAATACTTTTTCAATTTCAGCCATAAATTCTTTAGCCGTCTTAACCTTGTTAGATATAGTGCCCCTAAATATTTCTGGAATGGCTTTCTTCATGATCATCATACACATGCGATTTGATCTCTCCCACCTTTTCATCTCCATGTAATGAGCCGACTAGTTCTTTTGAGCATTTGTATTCCATCCAGCTATTTGAAGTTTTGAGCAGCATCGTATAATGTATTATGACTTGTGTGAATCGTCAGTTTTGGTTTCCAGGTTATTCGGAATTGATTTGGAAGAATGAATTTCATGATTGAAGCTTCAAAGTTGGAAGAGTTGACCAAGTTTGACTTTTTAGTATTTGACCTTGGATTTGAGTTTTGATGGTTCCATTAGGTTCAGATGGTAATTTTGGACTCAGGCGTATGCCCGGATTCGCATTTGAATATTTCTAGAAGGTTTTGATACTAATTGATAAAAGTTGGAAATTTGAAGGTTTGGAAAGTTTATGAGTTTGAACGGGAGTTGACTTTAATGATATCGGGATCAGATTGTGGTTCCGGGGATTTGAATAGCTCCGTTATATCATTTGGGACTTGTATGCAAAATTTGAGTTCATTCTGAGTTGATTTGATATGTTTCGGCGCGAGTTTTGGAAGTTGAAAGTTCAAGTTCATTTAAGTTCGATTTGAGGTGTGATTTGTCATTTCCGCGATCTTATGCATGATTTGAGGCCTCGATTAGGTCTGTATTGTGTTATGGAACTTGTTGGTATATTCGTACGGGGTCCCGAGGGGCTCGGATGAGTTTCAGATGAGGTTCAGAGTAGTTTGTTGTATGTTGCAATTTGTTGGTGGTGGTTCTGGTGTAGCCGCATCTGCGAAATATTGGTCGCAGAAGTGACTTCTAGAAGTGAGATTTTCTTCGCATCATGGAAAAGGACAGTTGGGCATGAAGGTTGCGGGTGCATAGGTGCATCTACACGACCGCATATGCGGTTCGATATGCGCAGAAGCGCGACCGCAGAAGCGGGAAATAGATCGCAGAAGCAATGACTGTTGGGTTCAGAGATTCTTCGCAGAAGCAAAATTTGTATCGCAGAAGCGGGGGTCGCAGATGCGACGATATTGTTGCATATGCAATGAAGCCTGGGCAGAACTATATTTTAAGACTTGGTCGTTTTCTTTTCACATTTTTGAGACTTTGAGCTCGGTTTTGGGTGACTTTGAAGAGGAATTTCACCACACGAATTGGGGTAAGCATTCTTAACTCGTTTTTGATTACATTTAATGAATCGATTCTCATTTATGGCATTTGGTGGATGAATTCACAACAGACATTAGGGNTGACTGAAACTGGTATGGTTGGACTCGTAGTTGAATGGGTTGTCAGATTTTGTGAGTTTTGTCAGGTTTCGAAGTGTGGGCCCGGGTTTGACTTTTTGGTTGACTTTGGATTTTTGATTAAAGATTCGATCTTTATCATTTGGAATTGTTTCCTTAGGCATTATTTGATGTATGTTCGTTTCTTTTGGCTAGTTCCGAGCCGTTCGAAGGTCGGTACGCATGGGATGACTTTTTTGGAGTATCTCTTGGCTTGCTTGGTATTGGATTTAGCTTGTTCGAGGTAAGTAACACTTCTAAACTTGGTGTTGAGGGTGTGAACCCCAGAATATATGTAATATGTGTTTGGTGTTGAGGTGACGAACATGCTAGGTGGCGGGTGTGTGGGCGTGCACGTGTGAATTATGACTCGATTGATTTTGTAGTACTGTGTAGTTACCTAATCTTGTTTTTATCCATGAAATATCTACGTGCTAGAGTAATTGAGTTGTGATTCATGTTAGAAACCATGTTTAGGCTATATGCTGATTCTGTCAGGACCCACTGAGGTCATATCTGTTGTGAGTTATTTGCTTAAATTGCAGTTACATACTCAGTCAGGCTCATTCATTTGCATATCATATCTTAATCTCTGTTGTTATTTATTAATACATCATATCATCATTTTGGGCTGATTTTCATGACATTGTGAGCCCGAGAGATTGGATAAATTGATGACTGAGTTGGGGCCTGAGGGCCGGATTGTGAGTGGTATTGATGGGATCGGGCTGCACGCCGCAACAAGATTCATTATTCTTGGGTTGGATCTTCCCTGTATTATTGATTCATGATGGGATTGAGTTGCACATCACATCAAGCTTTGTTAATTATGCCATGATTAGCTTATTATAGCGCTTGGGTTGGATCTACCATGTACAGTGCTGAGTGACTGAGAGTGTTGATGGCTGGATCTTCACTGTTCAGTGCTGAGTGACTAAGTATGTTGAATGATTAAGTGTGATGAGTGGAAAGTGTGAAACATTGAGATTGAATACTCTGAGAGTATGCATATGGTTTTATCACTGAGTTGCATTGCATTCGACATGCACACTTGACATACAAGAATAGAGATGCATTTTCCTCATGATGTATGGTATTGCATCATTCATGAATTTACATGCACATTAACATGTAGGCATAGAGATGTATTTTTCTCATTCCATTTGAAAATGAAACATTTACCTGTTGAAATTTTTGGGAAAAATCATAGTAAACTTACTCATCTTTTGGTGATTGCAGCAAAAGATTTGGGTTTACACTGGTATACTTAAAAAGCATGCCTATTTTCCGAAAATGTGAACGAGTTGAGCATTATATCTCTGAGTTACTTCTTTTATCACTTTTATTATGTTGTTATGAACTATTGTTGGCTATTGGTGTTGGACCCTGACCTTTGTTCCAGCTCATCACTACTTTTAACCTAAGGTTAGGTTTGTTACTTATTGAGTACATGAGTTCGGCTGTACTCATACTACACTTCTGCACCTTATGTGCAGATGTTGGATGTTGATGTTGTTGTGTATGGCGGGAGATGGATTTGAAGACGTACCTGCGTTCCGGTTATTGCTGCCTCTTAATCTTGGTAGTTTTAGATTTTTAGTCTGCTCATGTATATTTCAAACAGATGATGTACTTTATTTCATACCAGCTTTGTAAATTCTAAATCTTAGAAGCTCATGATTTGTACTACCAGTCCTTGGGATTTTGTATAAAAGCTCAGTTATTTCATCATTATTGTTTCATCAAATTTCATTGGAAATTATTTAGTTGTTAATTGGCTTATCTAGCGGGTTGGGTTAGGTGCCATCGTGACTAGTTGGATTTTGGGTCGGGACACTCCCTCTTTTCATTAGAGGTACTCTTATCAGTAAGAGGTGGTGGAGAATCAACCCTTAACTCAAGGTCGAGATCCATGACTGTTACGACCCAAAATCTCACAAGTCGTGATGGCGCCTATCTCAATACTAGGCAAGCCGACAATCTCAATAAATCACCATATCTTTTATATTTAAAACATAATAATTAAATTCATCGAAAAAAATCTCACAAATACAGATATAAACACTCCCAAAACCCGGTATCACTAAGTACATGAGCATCCAAATGAAAATAAAGTCTGACTAATAAAATATTGTTTGAAAGTATAGAACAGTACAATAACTGAAAGAATGAGAGTCAAGGTCAGCGGACTCCAAGCAGCTACCTTGATAGTCTCCAACTGATAGCACTCTGAGATCTAACAGTCGCCGTGTCTGAAAGCACCTGGATCTCTACACGAGGTGCAGAGTGTAGTATGAGTACAACTAACTCAATAAATAACAAAACTAAACTCCAGGCTGAAAGTAGTGATGAGCTCCACAGGAACAGTTCAGTACATAAATAATGGTACATAAATGAAGGCATGCTTTCAAGTTAAACAGTCAAACTCAGTACAAGCAAAAATAGGTCAATACTGCATGATATGAGGAATATGACATCTCAATGGTAAGACCTCATGTACTACTAGTCACAAACCATTCGATCACTCGGTACTGTTTATCGCTAATCCAGCCCAAGGATATTCCATCTCGTATATATACACATCGACTGACAGTCAGTCACTCAGTACCGTATAAGGCCAATCCAGCCTTGGGAGATGCATTCCCAAATGTAAATGATACGGACAAGATGCTTGTCCAGGGAAATTCATCACAATATAAACAAGTAAGGCAAGTCCATGCCCTGTGAAGTCCATCCAGAATATATAATCATCTACGCTAACTAGGGGTGTGTACAGACTCCGGAGAGGCTCCTTCAGCCCAAGCATGATATAAAGCCGAAATGGCCTACTACAGGCGGGCAATCCCGATCCGTATATTAATAAAGCCTATAAGGCCTGCTGCAGGCAGGCAGCCCCGATCCATATAGTAATAAAGCCTATAAGGCCTGTTGCAGGCGGGCAGCCCCGATCCATATAATAATAATATTTATAAAGCCAATGTGGCATGCTGCGGCGCGCAGCTCGATCGCATAAATATCCTCTCAATGGACGGATATGACTGAGTGTGAAACATATAATTTTAAAACAATTAATTCAATAGCAACACAACCCCATGGGTCCCAAAATATCGACACGTAGCCTAAACATGATCTTTAATAAGAGCCTCAGTTCAATTTCTCTAACACGTGGAACATGTTCAGATAATAACATGATTCTTTAATTTTACAACTTCACAGGATTTATTCAAGTCACACTTTATATGGTGCACGTCCACACGCTCGTTAACTATCGTGTACGTCACCTCCAAATAATTTATATAACACCAATTCGAGGATTCATACCCTCAAAACCAAGTTTAGAAGTATTACTTACCTCAAACCGTGTAATTTCTTACTCTGCAATGCCTTTGCCTCGCGTATCGGCCTTCAAATGCATCGAATCTAGTCATAAATAATTTGATTCAGTCGAAATAAATTATAGGTATTAATTCCATATGAAAATACACATTTCCAATCAAAAGTCCAAAATTTCACCCAAAAATCATGCGTGGGGCCCACGTCTCGGAAGCCGTCAAAAGTTACAAAATCTGAAATCCCGTTTAACCACGAGTCTAACCATACTAATTTTACCAAATTCCGACATCAACTTGACCTCCAAATCCTCAAATATTATTTTCAAATCCCTAGGTCCAAATCCCCGATTTACACCTCAAAATCATATAATCTAGTCGGATTATTCGATGATAATTCAATATTATGGAGTAGAAATGATCACAAGTAATATACCTCAAGATTTCCCAT